CTCACAGAAGCCGCTCAGTTCAAAATCCAGCTGCCTGTGTGTACCGGGAATGCAGGAACCAGTAGCAACAATGAATCCCAACATGAGAACTTTGCGCGCGCCTTGCGACAGCAGAGGCCTGACTGGCCAGTGTCGCTGCACCAGGTCACGCAGACTTTGCAGTACATTGATGAGGCTGCTGACCCCGTCATCGAGGATTTATCTGGTTGTTACTGCTCAGCCTGGGTCGAGGTTGCTTGACATCTTCTACAAGGACGTGCGTGAGCATGGCCGCTGCACTATGTTGAGGCAGGTGCCGCCTGGCTTTATGACTTCCCGGCACGATGGACAGCGGATTGGTCAGCAAAAAGGTGCCTGGTGCACGTGGGATGCCAATGAGAACGTGTCATGGCGGGGGTACTATGACCGCGTGGCGCAGTGGCGGGTCAATCATGATCGTGTCCGTGCAAGGGCGCTGGAAGAACGGGACTACCGGCTCTGTGGCCGAGAGGAGTGGATTGCCATGTCACGTGATTTTGCGAGTCGTTTTGCGCCACCAGCCCCGGATTTTACCTTTGGCTCGCTGGCCAGCCGGCCTGCCTCATCCACCGCAATGGAATGCCAAGGACTTTGTGGAGCGCAACCATGAGCCAGTCGGGATGCAATGGATGGTCTCCGAGACGCGGTCATGTAAGTGTATGTGCTTTTTTGGTGTTGAATTCATTAGACACTTCGACGGTGCTCACACCTCTCTTTGCAGAATTTCGGGCTTGGCTTACTTTTCTCTGGTTTGCCCACAGGGGCTTTTCATTGTCACACCTTCAGGGAGGGCTGCTTGTCAGTACAATACCGAGACATAATTCACCTTTTGGCACCGTGTTACGGGACCACGGCGGCCGCCTTCTCGCTTCGGCGCGTTGCCTGTCGGTGGAGGGCACATCGCCTTTGGGCCGCCAATTGCAGCGATGGAGGTGATGGTCGTTTGCAGTGAGTACTGCCTTCTGGCTGACCTTGGGGTGTGACAATGCATGCTTTTTCCTGGCCTACCTGCCCGTATTACCGCATGCTTTGGAGCGAGCTTTGCCCTGCGTATGTCTATGACTTGCCATGTGCAGGTCTTGGTCGCATCTATGATCAAATCTATCTTTTTCCATGGTCGGCCATACTGTTCATGGAATCTGCCGTGGGGTACGGCAATGTGGACTGCCTTTTCGGGATGCACTGTTCCTTCAAATTTCGGTTACACTATGATTCTACTCTTTCATAATTCGCGGCTTGCGGTACTCCCTTTTTGCATGATTTGTACAGGCTTCACTTTTCGGCTCGTCTTTGTCTGTGTTTCTGTTTGCCTGTTTGCTTGCTTGTCTTGTTTCGTGTGGTTTCCCTGTTGTGGGCACTTTTTGAGGCACACGCACCTCTCGCGATGCCCGTACCTTTTTTGGTTTGTAGCCGTTTCATCCTTTTCACACAGAGTTGCTTGATGCAGACGTGCGCTCGACGCGGATCGCTGCTAAGGGGCAAAAAAGCTATGGGAGCTTCCTGAGTTCATGAACTTTAAACTTTTTGGGATGACCATTTTAGTTTAGTGGTAATTATATAAAGTTTGGACTTTTTTTGGGCCATCCACTCAGCCAGTGAGTTTATGGGATCAAGTAGTGTCAAGTCGCTAAAGTGTCTGATGCTTCTGTTAATTATCTTGTAATAGTCCAATATGTGCATTGATAGTCCAAAACGTGGTCTAATTCCAACCTCCCAACCCCAAACAATAACACCCCCCGATTCATCAATTCATCAACTGGGGTTTAGACATGTATGGGGTCAACTTTACATGGCGATCCTTGGGGAAGTTTCTTCGCAGTGGCAGCCTTGGGACATTTTTTAGGGGGAATTTTAAAAATTTTGGGCCGGATGCGCCCGAAGGCCTGGAAAAGGTGGGAAAGGCGGCTTGGATTTGGATGCGCAGCCCTGGTTTTTGTAGAGGGCGAATGGGAAACCACTCCTTAACCACCGGGCTCACCACCGATTGTAGGGAAGCTGACCATGAGGTTTCCATTCGGAAGTCGCATAGTTTGACAGGAGACGGCGTCAAAAGTCACGCCCCGAGAGGGGGAGTCGGGGGGCATGCGGCTTGATGTATTTGCTTGCCTTGTTGAACTGGTCGGGCATGTGGAGCTGGCGACCAATCACACTGATCCTGGAGATTTGTCACAAATCAGAGTGAGTATTGTTTTAAGTAAGGTAGAAAGGCAAGGGGCAACGCTTGTGCCAAAAGCTGTTGAGAGGGCCTTACTTGAGAATTGTACTTTGAGGGGTTGGGGGATGAAAAGATTGTATGCACAATAGCTGGTGTCACGGTTCCTGTTCCCACTATTGGCGCATTTTCGGGCCTCCGCCCTATGTGGGCTGGATTGGTATGCCACCTGTTCGCATTGTCTAGCGGCAGGCTTTGCCACCTGTTTGGATTGCCATTTGGACATTCCTGGTTCGCAAGCTGGCGGAACTTGAGCATGTATAGCTGAAGAAAGACAACGACAGGTGCTGGCTGTCCGCCCTTCCCCCAATATGAACTGACTCTTAGGTCTGGGCAGCTTGTCTGATGACGCCAATGTCCTTCGTAGTCTCCCATCTGCTGAAATGAGTAGTGTTTGATTATTGTCTCCTTTTGGTTTTAAAGGGAATCAATTGGATTCGATATCACTACTGGACATATTTTCACTCGGAGCCCAGGAAGATGCGCAGCTCCAGCTCACGCCCGTTCCTTAGTCCGAGTGCACTTGCTTTACGCGGGAATGTTCTCATGTGGCTGGCTCCAAGACTTGCTCATGCGATAGGTAGGGAATGAGGGAATGCGCTGTGTAAACCATTCAAGCATTGGTGGCCTTTAAGGGAATCCCCGGGTTCCTTCCCACATTCCCTAGCTATCGCACCAAGAAGAGCTGGGACTTAGGCTCCTCAACGTGCGGGGTCCCAGTGGGCCGGTCCTGCATCTGTGTTTGTTGTTTCTGTTTATGCTTAGCAACTTCAAGGCTTCAAGCGGTGCCAGATTGTGGCATGTATTCAAAACCTCGTGCTGGATCACACGGACAACACCTGAGACATTGCGCGGGTTTGCTGTGGCGTGTGTGTTTACGAAGTCTGGGTGGCAAAAAAAGCGATGAATGCCCCCGGCTCCGGAGGAAAAGGAAATCCAAGAAGGAGAAGAAGGAGAAGCGGAGGAAGAAGAAGCGCAAGAGCAGGACATGCCATCCTTGGCTTCTGCTTCAGCTTGGATCCCGCAGCGCTTGTGGCGAGGGCTCATGTACTGGACTGGGCAGGAGCAGCTCGCGCAGAAAGACGAGGAGCTGCTTGCGGAGCAAGGAGGGGGCGTGGCGTGAAGCCTGGCATGTGTCTCCAATGTGGCTTGCTGTGGCAGACTTCCATTTGCTGAAAAGATGTTGTTTTTTCCCCCTGTTGGTTTTAAAGGGAATCTATCACTACTGGAAATATTCATTATTGAAATCACGCGATCTGCCGACGCCAGTGGGGTGCAAGGGAATTTAAGACCTTTTTCATTTTTTCATGGAAGTGATGCTGAGGATGCTGGAAATGCAAGGGATGCAACCACACAACGTACAGGAACAGACCCAATCTTCACATCCAAAATTTCAAGACTTTCAGACACGCAAGGTTGACCAAACACAGAAAATACCAGAGATGCCGGGAATGCAGCCGGCTGGCAACACAAAAGTAAAAAAAAACTATATTTGTTTTTTATATTTCCCAAAATCAACCATCAAAAGCAGATACTAGCAACCCCCCTCAAATACCCAAAAAATAGACTTCCAAAAGCACGATAATGCAGGGGATGTTTCGCAGCAACTGCTCCGTACAGTTGGGGAATTGCAAAAACCACACATGCTTGGAAATTCCAACAGTTCCTCAACGTATCACTGCACTTGGCCCCACCCACGCCCCTAACAGGCCAATTCCAACATCGCTTGAAACAGCAAAACACCATTAGTATCTGCAAAAAAGGAGACACACTCATGGCAGCAAGGTAATCCTGATGATGCTGGGGATGCAGATCCTGCGCGTTTGGGGGACCCCCCCCCCCAGAGACCCAGGCGAAACGCAGAGTTTCAGCACGCAAGCCCCAAAAACGCTGGAAAATTACATGGTTTTGGACACCCAGCACACCATGCCCAAAAAATGGCAGCCCCAAAAGCCTTCGGCTTTTATAAGAGATCCGAAGGAAGACCAAGTTGCGGACTGCATCTACCAGACCAAGTTTGGAAGCAGACCGGGTGGTTCAAGTTTGGATCAGACGGAGCCCTGGGGCTGGGTGCGTTTTTTTTTTTGCGACTTGGCCTGCCAGCTATGTGACTCCGATTCGTAGGGCGCAGCTCTACGCAGGCTTCCTGATTCCATACCATGTTTGCTTGTGACAACCCACAACACTCCTCCTAAAGGAGTTTTCCCAGGAGTTGTTGTTTTGTAGCTTGTCGCAAGCGCCTCCTACAAAACCAAAACTTGGGAAGCCATGGCCTGCCAGGTCTGGGGGTGGTTGTGAGGCCACGGGTTCGGAAGCCTCACTTGTGAACGTATGTTTCTCCCTCCCTTCAAAATGGAATTCGAGGGGGGCAACCCCTGGAGATCTCCATTTCCATGTTCCTTTTTCACGGGAGGAATGAAATTGGGGACCCCCCTTTGCCAGACCTGGAGGTAGGGAGATCTGGCTTTTACATGAAGCCCACGGGCGCGCCAGTCTTCATGCCTGCACACCCCGCGCACCAAGGGTCGGGGATCTCAAGCGGATGTTCTTTCCTGGGCAATGCAGACTTCATCTCATTTCGCATCCAGGAACCCAGGAGAGCTCAATCGCCCGAAGCCCGGAAGGTTCTGGGAACTCGGAACCGCTGTCCGCAAGGAGACTTTTAGGCTTCAGGGGGTTTTCCTTTGACCCAGCAGTCAATCTTTGAGCAGGGGATCCCAGGACAGGGTCTATATCCTGCGTTCTTTACCGGACTGGCGGCTGGGCTTTGGCTCAAGGCCGCGAGGCCAAGCGCGTTTTCCACTTTACCAGATGATCTAATGATCCAACTGTTTCCTTCCATGATCAGGGTCCTGGCCCTGTTTACCGCCTCGCGCCCCGGCGTCTTCTTCTCGGTTTGGGAAGGGCTGGGTATACCAGGGCTGGGTATACCAGGGCTGGGTCGGCCAAGGCTTTACGAGCGTTGATGCCGCTATCTTTCGGTGGCTTTGGAGTCATGTTGAAGGCAAGTCTGCATGAAGACACTTGCATAGTTTTCCCTTGGCCTAACCTCATCTGCTTGTGTTACGTGCTGGCTGGCGACAATATGCGACAACGTCAAATGGGGCGAGGTTCTGTTGATAGGGACTTCCTCGAGCATTCCTATATCTCTGTCGATGTCAATCGGGCTGTCCTTGCACTCGCGATCCTTTGTTGATTCTTGACAGCCTTGGTCCCCCAACCGGTTTTCCATTGGCACTTCTTGGAATCCTCGGAGCAATAGTTCACAGGATTCAAACATGAGAACGGCCACTGGGATGCATAAAAGTTTTGGTGTCGTCGTTCCGAGGCCTGGGAAGACCATGGCTCCCAAATTGTGGGAGAGAGATTGGTTCGGTGATTTTTCCTTTTGGCCGAAAATTTGGCCGACGGGTGCAGTCGGCTTTTGTGAGTGGGGCCACGTGTCACCAGCGAGACGTGTGTGGAGTTTCTCAGAACGCCTAAGGCAGCGACTAGAATGCACAAAGGTTGCTTTGTCGGTGCTTGGTGTGCAGAATGTTAAGGTTGCTTGGTGCAAAGGTTGCTTGGTGTCAAGGTTACTCTAGGATTGGTGCGCAGAATGTAGTCTAGCCACCACTTGAGACATTCTGCTTAGACTTCTAGGTTGCCAAAGTCCATTCTGCACAAAGGTTGCTTGGAAATTCTGCTTGGCCAATTTCCCATTAGATTTCCTGGTTTCTGTGACGAGCTTCTCAGGAGCACTGCGTGCACAACAAGCACTGATTCCTCGTGCACACCATCAGGCGCAGCTGGCTGCGCAGCTGAAAGGGGAATGCGGAGGGACGCAGATTTAAGCAAGTCTAGGGGAACGTTACCACGTGTTTTCTGCCTTGGTTCATGCATTAGAAGGCACAACATCAATGGACTTCTGACTGTTGCGAGTTTTTTTGATCAATGGCCATATTTACCCCTGCTAAACAAGGTAAAAGGCGTTTGCCAGCACAAAGCGGATTCATGAATTCTGGTGCGGTAGCTCTGGACTGTTGAATCTCAGTGCATCATAAAAGTCAGCATCTTTGCTACGGGCGCAGACCCGTAGCCCAAACTCCGGCACTTTGCCCGAGGCTTGGTGGTTGCTTGGTGAAATGTGGGTGGCTTCTCAGGGCTCATTTTGCCACCAATTGAAACATGGCGTTTTCCACCAAAATTAAGAAGGCAATGTTCAGGTGTATAATGTAAGGATCCCTGTTTCTCAAAGTAGGGTTCCCTGTTTGGTTTCAAGCATTCGGAAGCCTTCGGGGGGGGAAGGGCTCCCGAATGCTGGAAAAGTATCACCCGCATCTACCTCTCGGTTGTCCAAAGCCGACCTTTTGACCTTTTGGTTTTCCCATTTTGGTCCATTTTTAGTAGAGGTGCCAAAAGGTTAACCTTTTAGTTCTGGGTCCTTTGGGCAACTGAGACCTAAACACGGGCTCCTGCTCAAAAGAGACCTCCGACGTCTGAGTTGGCGAGGTCCGGGTAAAAGCGCATGAAGGCTTTCACCCGGTCCGCCCAGAAGGGCAGCTTCGCTCAAACGACTGGCGTAGGTCCGGTCGCTGCCCGGCAGCTGCTGCAGACCATCCCGGCGGTGCTGGGCCGAGAAGACCAGGCCTCGCACCTGGACACACAGAGCCTCTCGGATGGCGTGGCCTTGCGCCCGCACGAGGGAGGCCCAGCGGAGCCTTGGACTCGCCCAAGTCCCATTTGGATGATTTGGCGTAGCTTCCAGGTGCTGAACTGAATATGTGTTTGTTGCATTTTTCCCCCTTTTTGGCTTTGCAGGAACCAAGCACTACTGGACTTTTTTTCAGGGGCTGAAGCAAATGGAAGGTAGTATGTGCGACTTGTTGTTCTGCGACTTGGCCTCTTGGCCTGCTTGTAGCATTCAGTGCCGGGGCTTCGCAGTACATCCATGGCCCATACTTTCCGGAGTCACCCACCTAGCCCACGCAGCGGCCAGAAACTCTGATCCATAGCAAAGATCCGTTGGGTCAACACACACATTGTGACATCTCCAAGCGCGGTGAGTTCCAAGGATGTGATCCAAGTCGACGTTGCGCTGAAGGCCTTCTTCGGAGCAGAGCCCGGGCTCAACTGGGGCGGGTTCAGGCATCGCTTTGGGTTTGGAGTGGGGGACCTGAACCCTTCGGGAGGAGCAGCTTGAGCCTGCGTTACCCCCCCCCCTGAACAGTGGTAGCAGTCATTGGAGGAGTCGCGTCGGATTCTGAGGGACAGTTAGGCACGAATGCTTTTGAAGAGTCTATCCCCATTGCTCGGATCTGACATTCACAAGGCGGAGCACGGAGACCGCTCGAGCCATTGTGGGCTTGGATAGTGCACGACTTTCGTGTCCGCCAGGGGTGCTGGCGCATTTCTTTGTGACTTTGTCATAGGCATGATTCAACTTGGTGGCTCCCAACCATCCCCTATATGTGTTAGCTTGGTTTTTTCTTTTTTTTGCCAGTCAAGTGAACACAGGGCGTATTGCGTATCCCAACGCCTCTGGCACAAACGACCTGAACAAACCCATGTGAGCATGGCCACCCACCCTGGCTCATTTGGCTGGCTCGCTTGGCTGGCTCGCTTTTTTTTGAGGCTCAGTAGTCGCCCTTTTGGGGGTTGGTTCCTGGCTTAAGGGAGACCAAGCAGAAGCCACAAAATTGTTGAGGTTCCCCACGGTTCCCCTAGTTTGAGACAAACCCATTTGTGTTATCACGTGTTCTGCTTCATGACACATTGACATTGCCGCGTCATTCTTTGCAGACGCTGAGCAAGTATGACGGAAGCATGATCAAATGCAGCACCGTCAGGTCTAGTATATGACAATTACTTTTTGTGAATCCGAGCATTTGCGTTAGTTTGCGCAGGCTTTTGAGGCCCGAAACAGGTGCGGCCGTGTTTTTTTTTGACCAAGGATTTGCACAACGAGGCGTGGGAGGGCGATCTGGTGCTGATGCTTTCCTGGCACGACCCGCGCGCGGCAGGGCTGGTTCCAAAGGCCAGGGCCGGCAGGGCACACGGCATTGGATGAACAGCACAGGTTGGTTGTTGATCTCCATGTCATAGGCGTCCTTTTTAGGTTAGTTTGGCTAAAACTAGATGGCATTTGTTTCATTCACTGCCCAGAATCCCTCCAAAACGAGGCCCCCAAGGAGGCCACTGGGTGTCTGTCGTGGCGGGAACCCTCTGCTTGCGTTTAAACAAACCAAAGGGTTTGAATCCACCCAATTCTGGGGTTCTAGCGTACATGGAGCATAGGTGGCCTTTTGGAGAAAACAAAGATGGGATCACTTCGGTCCACAGATGCACTGAACGAGAAACAGGGGAAACGCCCGCAACGCTAACGGCAGATAGTGAAAGAATGCATCCTGAAAATGTGCGGCGGCTCAATGGGACACGTTTTTTTTTGCAGCTGAACATGCCTTCTGAGCTCCCCCGTGAGCATGCGGAGTCTGCGGCAGGCTGTGTTTGAGGGTCTTAACGCCATGACTTGGCGGCGTTGGCCATGGCTTGTGCCCTGCTTATTGTTTGCCTGGTATCCCGACGCGCGCTCTTCGGTTCCAAACGGTCCTTCCATTGGCGCGGGGCTCCAGGAGCATCAAACTCGCACTCTGAGCCAACAGCAAGCCCAAAAGCTGCTGTGGACACCTGTGACCGGGCATGCATTTTGAATGACCGGGCATGCATTCGAATTTTTCGGTGGATGGGCGAAATCCGTTCGACCTGCTTTGAAGCCTTGGTTGAAGCCAGGGTTTGTTGGCATTTCTAGGGGAATCGAATCGTAGGGTTTCTTAGGAGGTGCAGGGTTTACTCTATCCACAGTATCAGTGGTGTTCAGTGTCGGCGCATGAAAAGAGGCAACACGGAGTCGTGTTTTGAGCGGACAACAGGAGACCTTCACCTCCAAAGTGCATTGAACAATCTCTTTGTATCCGGCAGCCTCGAAGGTTGTTGCAGTATTTTTTTTGGAAATGGAGGCCAACTTGTGCAACTCTTTGCATGTTCCACCGTTCATTGGGATATATATGAGCCACGGCCAAAACCTACGAAGACCAATTTATCAAGAGGGGTAGTTGAATTGCATGTCCGAACTGCACGAAACCCTGTAGAACGATAGGGGCCCCCCCAAGACCGATTACCCTCAAGTTGCGATTTTCGAGCTGGAGCTGCGGAAGTGTAGTCCGCGTACGAGACTTGTACTACAAAGTTGCGATTTTCGAGCTGGAGCTGCGGAAGTGTGCTTCGCGTACGAGACTTGTACCACAAAGTTGCGATTTTCGAGCTGGAGCTGCGGAAGTGTAGTTCGCGTACGAGACTTGTACTACAAAGCCGTGATTTTCGAGCTGGAGCTGCGGAAGTGTGCTTCGATATATATATATATACATATATGCCAGCGTGGTTTTGCGCATGTCACAGCTCTCGTGGCAACGTCTTTGGAGCCAAGGACGTGGAGGTCACGAACATCGAGCTGGACGGCTTTCAAGTGATCTCCACCAGCTACGTGGTATCTTTGGACGGGGTGGTGAACAAGACCCAGCGGGTGCTGGTGAAGATCAAGGACAGCTGGCGCTGGCGCTTTGTGGGGGGGGCATAGGGATTTAGGTTTTAGAACCCTTGGATGAACCAACCCCCATGTTTGTTGTGTGTGTCCCGATTTGGAGGGATGCGTATTATTGCTGGACCGAGACACTTTGTGAGAATTAGTTACACCTATTCCCTTTGCGTACTGGCACTGGTGTTGTCTTGAAATCGTTGGCATTTCGGAAGTGCAGATGTTTCGCGAGCACCGCAGCAGCTCAGCAGGATTGCGACAAGGCAAGCGAGGCAGTACACCTGGCTACAAGCCAGCTTTTCCTAGCAGGAGGTATACCCTTCGCCTCCTCTCGCATGTTTCTCCCGTAGGAAGACTTTGACGGAAAGCAGTTCCCTTACGACGAGCAGGCCTGGCTACAAGTTTGTGGTTGCCAAGGCGTGCTCGCAAAACGCATTAATGTTGATTGATGTGGCAAGGTCGGTGCACGATTAGCACGCCTCCGCATCAAAGGTTTCCCCGTTTCCCTCCCAAGACTAAAGTAAAGCGCCAACAAGGTTTGCCAAACAAATCCAAACCCAATCATTTGTTACGGACCTCCCCCCCCCCGGTCTCCCCGTAAACGCAAAATTGAATGACAAGGTGTGCAAGCTCACAACGAGGACTGCCCCTGGAGGCCAGCCCCCCTTTTAACAGAACACCTCTGCGATAAATCGGGGAATCGTTGGGCCCTGTTGGGCTCAGCACCACCCAGACCCCGATTATCCCGAAAGCGTTTAAAAAGAACGAGCCCAATCATTCCCCTGCTGCCCAGCAAGGGCTAGTTTCAGACGCACCGCACGCCGTGTTTGCTCTCTGCCCCCCAAGCCCAAGCGCAAAAAGGTTCCCCTTTTTCCTTTCCTGGCCAAGGAACATTTGAGGACTGTCACGCAAGCAGAGCAATGAGTTTTCCAAAGAACCCTTCTTGTTTCCAGCAAGGCCTGAAAGGCTCCAGATAAATCAGGTCCTCCAAGCCTCCAAGCGAGGGGCCTCCAAGCGAGGGGCGGGGGCGGGGGGGGGGGGGAAGGCCCCATTTACCAAGGCGACTGCTATTGGGTTGGATCTTTAGACTTTCACCTTTGGGATTAACTTATATTTCCTTTTAACCAGCAAAAAGTGTAACTTTTTGCTGGGGGATCTACAGCACCCAATTTTGGATGCCAATTTTCCTTTTGGCGAGAGCTACGCATGAACCCCTCAGGCCTTAAATGTGCGCCTGGCCTCGACCTCTTACATGGTGGATGATGTCCAGCTCGTTGCTGCACCCGGCACGAACCTCACAAACCCAGGACTGCCGGACTGGCTTCACGTCTGGCACCGGTGGCTTCAGTGTCCCGAAGACACCCGTCGCGATCAGTTAAGAGCCGCGTTTGTCCAGTTGTTGCTTGTGTTTGGTTGATAGGTTGTTTTTTTCCCTCTTTTTTCCAAAGGCTTTGGTGCCTTTGGACCTTTGGATGTCCACATCCGAAACACCACCACCAACCCCCCCAGCATCACCAATATCCCCCGCCCCCCAGCGTCACCAGCAGCGCCTTGTTTGTTTGGTGTCCTTGTGTGTGTTCTTGCCCCCCCCCCCTTATATTGGGCCCACTTTTTAGTGATGACCATAAAGGGCAAACCCAAATCCGAACCCGCAGCTGAACGAACCCATTCTCAACCCACCCTAAACCACAACCAAAACTCAACCCGTGAAGGATGCCCATCAATGTTGAAACCATGTGACATTTGAATGTATACTGACGCGGTTGGGGAGGGGTTTTCGTTCTAAGCAAGAAGGTCTCCCAAATGTCGAGATCTGCAAAAGGTAACGTTGCAGAAAACCATACAAAACAAGCCATGCCCATATTTCCGGCCATGCCAAAACATCCAGCCAGGAGTGCCATCCGTTTCTACAGCCGTTTAGTTGTTGATTTCCCCCTCAGCTGCGAGCGCAACATGCGAGGACACAGTAGCAAGCCAGCCTTGCTCGGTATGCAGGTTCTTGCTTGATGGTGAACGAGGCAAGAGACACGCTTTTAATTTCAATCTGCGGTTTGTACAAGCCAGAGGCTCCCTTCTACAAACCAGCCGGAGTGAGTCGAAACCGAGATCAAAGCATGTGTATGAACAGAAATTAGTAAGGGACGCTTGAATGTTACATCCATGGCAGACAAGGGAAACACGGCAGAAAGTGGTCGACCTGCAGAGGAGCCGAGGTGTTTGACCACTCCGACTGGACCTACTTGGGCCATGCTCTTTGTCTCTATGCCAGGTCGAGAGCGTGCTGGAACTGTTCCAATGGTCCCCTTCCTGAGTTCCTGGCAATTAAACTTTTTGGGAAGACAATTATAGTGGTCAACAACCAGTTTGGATTGTTCCTGACCAGTCCAGGAAGTGAGATTGAGAACGCGTCGGTGCATTAGCCTATTCCCAGGTGCCATGCAACTGCATTTGGACACGGCAAGGCCTCTTTTGCAGTCAGCTTGGTCGTACCCCAGGCTGCTTGGCCTAGTCCATTACAAAAGTTGAGGGCATGTCATGTGCCCCTTAACTGGGGCCTTTCCAGCTCAAATGATTGCGCCTAGCTATCTTGAAAACCATTCGGTACAACTACAGGCGGATGGCAAGAAGTATTGTTTTCGGCTGGCACACCAGATGGTCTGTAATATGCCATCTTGGCTGCTATTGGGTTGGATCTTTAGATTAACATTTCGGAAATCAAGGGGTTTTCCACTAAACCCACAAAAGTTATTAGTATTTTTTGCAGAGGGGTCAACAGCAACCAAGCCATGTTCTGCATGTTCGTCAACCCATCCCGTGGCGTGGCTTGGAGCCCAGCGAGGAGCTACGTTGTAGCTAGGTCCCCCAGCTAGGTCCCCCAGCTAGGTCCCCCAGCTAGGTCCCCCAGCTAGGTCCCCCAGCTAGGTCCCCCAGCTAGGTGCCATTTTTAACCTTTTTTTTTTTGGGGGGGGGGAGGGTTCCCCTACTAAACTAGACTACAGAAAACAAGTTGGTACCCTTATTCTAACCTCTCTACTGGAGGACCTAGATAAGTGTTTGGATGTGTGTTAGCATACCTAGGTTCTCCTGGCCGAAGATGAGCGAAGAGACAATGCGAAACCAGACAAAGAGCACCAATTTGGGGCAAGTCATGAGCATTAGGGGCTCACGCCCCGCAATGATAGCGATCCCCTTATGTTTTCGATGCCGGCTCCGGGATGGTGTTCCTCCGACTTGGGCCCGTCGGGATCGTGTTGCTTTTGGCGCGTTCTTCGCCCAGGGTCTCACGGTGTTCGAGGAGATGACCGGAACTCTGCGCAAGAGCCGCGCTCAGTTCCAGATCCAGCTGAAGCGGGATGCCACACCCTACCTGAGCTACACCATCTTTCCGGAAATCATGCGCCTCGGACAAAGCTGCCACTTTTGGAGGGCTCAAGAAGGGAAATGAAGGAAACCCTGACTGGACTGGAACACCGTTCGGCGGAGGTTTGACACAAACCTCATTTCGGCCTGCTGAGACTTGGCAGTCTGTCCTGGCGCCCCGAGCTTCTCAAATTTGATTTGAAAGAGGCTGTCAACCTGGACAGAAGTCAGCGGAAAGCTAGCCAAAGTTCCAAAAGGAAATCAAAAGATGCATACATGGCCGCAGGTGACCGGTTCGGTGCATTTGCTTGCAGTGCTCGGCCCCTCGTGCCTGCCTCTCGTTGCCAGTCCGTGTTGTAACTTACTGTGTCTAACGAATCTAGGGTCGTGTGCGAAATCATCGGCAATGATTTGTACTTGTGGGGCGAGCATCGCCTTTCTTTGGATTGCACCGTAGTTGGCACCTTGCCAAGGAAATGTGTGCATTTGCTAGCAAGGCCACCTTTGTTACGAGCCTTTTTTTGGGGCTGTCCCGGGTATAATATAGATGTTTCAGTACGGCACAGGCTTTCAACAGCTGCTTTGAACAGGAGTTTACGGTCCTGACCCTGCTTTTTCGGTTGGTCCCAAGAGGTTTCCTTAGGACATGCCTTGGGCGGAAAGCAGGAGCCTCATTTGCCCGCGCTAGGATCGTTGTCCTCTCGTACACGGCTGCTCGGCGGGGCTTTGTTGCTTTGGGTTGGAAGGAGGGCCTGAGCTTGCAAGTCTGCGCTCCAGACGCGGTTGCTTGAGCTTATTGCATCAGCGCCAGTTGCAATTGGATCATGCCCATGCCCGTCACGATACTCTGATCGCGGCACGGCTCTGTGATTTTTGGGAAGTGCGGCAGCATCCAGAGTTGCAGGGCTTCATTCAAGAAACAGTTTGGAGTTCCACAGCTGGTTGATAAACTCAAAAGCATGCTAGCTTTGTGGAGCAAACACGGTTACGTGCAACTCATGGAAAGGTCGACTCGCGCTGTTTCAGCGAGGTCTTCCTGTTCCCTGTCACCCCCGCCTTCGCAATGCCACGGGTTTCCTCGGTGCCTTGGTGCGCAAAGTGAGCAGAGCCATTCGATTCTTTGGCCGTGGGCCACTAGCGGTGCTTGGAGAAAAAAGCAGTTTGCCCATTCCAGGGGCTGCCCACATGTGCATTGACATGATGACTTGTTGTGCGTGCTGATGGCCCCAGTAAGGGACTCGTCGTTGCCTCACAAACGGGGTAGGCGATTCGTGTGCAAGCTACATTGCAACACGAGTCGTGTTCCAACGGCCACTGGGCAATGGGGAAGGAATCCTCAAACATCCCCCAACACCGCAGGCTTCAAGACATGTCGATCGGGCGTGTTTTGAAGCTACTTGTTTGACCTTGGTTTCAAGGGAAGCCGAAAGGACTTCCACCGTTTTTAGGTCAGTTTGACATGGCCACATACCCATTCTAGGTACCCCAGTAGTGCTCTTTAACCCTTCTTTTCGGGGAGGGTTCCCCTACTAAAGTAGACTACGGACAAAAAAAGTCGGTACCCTTATTCTAACCTCTCTACTGGAGGACCTAGCATCGAACCTCAGGCCGTCATTGCCTTCTTGTCGATCTTGACCATCAGCACGCGCACCACTGCCATGCTACCAGAAGTGCGCAGAGGATCGAATTGCGGCGAGTGGGTGCCGCCGCGTCATGGAAGCTAATGGAGGGTGTTCTGGAGAACGACTTTCCTTGGACCACACGGTCCGCTTCCATTGGAAAGAGGGCAACGTGTGTTCCTCAACAACTGTACAGAAATCAGATTCCAGAAAAGCCTCTGGTACTTCTGATTGAGAAGCGGCCAAAGTTTTTGGGCCAATTGCAACATTCCGACTCCCGACCAGCTTGTGCATTTGAGGGGGGAGGGGGAGGGGGGCAAGATTTGCAGGTGACGGAAAGCGCTTCTTGAAGCGCTGGGAGTTAGTGTACGAAGTTGTGGGGGGGGGGGGGGTGTGGGGGGGGGGTAACCTCGTTCCGGGTGATTTGCAGGTCTGGTCAGCTGAAAAATACTCCCATTCTTTGGGAGTATTTTTTGGAGCACGTTCTGCCACCGCAAGGCTGGTTTGCAGGTCCGGTCAGCCGAAATACACCCGTTTTTTGGGAGATTTTCTTCGAGCACGTTTTGGTGTTTTTTTCCTGCGTTTTTGCAGACGCTGCCCATCGTGTATGGCCTTTTCGGCTGGGGCTCTTGTGGGCCAATGAGCATGCCAATTTTACATCAGTTTACTTTCCAGTGCCGGCCTCGCCGAACTTGGGCGTATGCTGGGGATGTCGCGGGATAAAATGCGGTTATGTTTTTGGAGTTCGCGTGGGAGCCGCGGGTGCTGGGGATGCCGCAGAAGAAGATACTCCCATTGTTTGGTTTTTTTTGAAAGCACTTTGTGTCACCGCGCGGCTTTGTGGTGGCTTGCGGTTGTTTAGCCATGTGCTTTTCACGGACCCAACGTAGTCCGATGTGAGGCCCAGCCCCCACCATGTTTTGGGAGTACTCCTGTCAGACCGTCCGGGAAAGCAAAAGCTGACCAAAAGCAAACCGAAGTCAAACCAAAGGTAAGCCAAAAGCAGACCAAACCAAAAGCAAACTAAAGGTAAATCAACAGCAAGCCGATGGCAAACCAATAGCAAACCAAAGGCAAACCAAAAACAAGACAACCCAAAGCAAAAGCACGCCAAAGGAAAACCAAAAGCAACCAAAAGAAAACCAAAGGCAAAGCCAAAGTAAACCAAAGGTAAGCAAAGAGCAAACCAAGAGCAAACCAAAAGGCAAACCGGTGCCAAACCAAAGGCAAACGAAAGGTAAGCCAAGAGCAAACAAAAGGCCAACCCAAAGCAAACCAAGGGAAAGCATATGATAAACAAAAAGCAAACCAAAGGTAAACCAAAAGCAAACCAAATGAAAACTCAAAGCAATCCAATGGCAAACCAACGGTAAACAAAAAGCAAACCAAACGCAAACCTAAGGTAAAGCAAAGGCGAACAGAAGGCAAACCAAAGGCAAGCCAAAGGCAAACCAAAGGCAAACAAAAAGCAAACCAAAAGCAAACCAAAAGCTGACCACAAGCAAAGCAAAAGCAAACTCAAGTTCAACCAAAAGCAAGCCAAATGCAACCGAAGGGCAAGCCAAAGGCAAACCAAAGGTAAACCAAACGCAAACCGAGGGCAAACCAAGGGTAAACCCAAAGCAAACCCAAAGGCGAACCAAAAGCAAACTAATTGCAAACCAAAACCCAAGTTAAACTGAAAGCAATCCACAAGTAATCCAAAAGCAAACCAAAGGCAAACCAAAGGTAAACCAAAGGCAGACCAAAGGCAAACCAAAGGACAACCTAAGGTACACCAAACGCAAAACAAAAGGAAACCAAAGGCAACAAGAGTTAAACCAAAGACAAACCAAAAGCAAACCTAAAGTAATCCAACAGCAATCCAAAAGTAAACCAAAAGGGAAACCAAAGGCAAACTAAAGATAAACCAAAAGCAAACCAAAGGCAAACCCAAAGCAAACCAATCGCAAACCTAGAGGCAATTCAAAGGCAAGCAAACGGTAATTCAAAGGGAAACCAAATACAAACCAAAGGCGCACCATCAGCAAAACAAAGGTTAACCAAACACAAACCAAAGGCAAACCAAAGGCAGACCCAAACCAAACCAAAAGGTAAACCAAAGGCAAACCAAAGGTAAACAAAACAAGTTCGTATTAGAGGATACTCTCTGGACTATCCTAGCCCTTTCAATAGGGCCCTCTGGAGTGTCATTTGCGCTTTCCGTTGTTTGCCGGACTGGTCGCCAAGGCAACCTGCTGACTTCCCCCCCATACTGTGGATTATTCTTTCATGCGAACTTTCGCTGCATGTGTGTTTGCAACTGTCTCGGCAACACGGCTGCCTATCACGCCACCATACCACCTGGCCTGCTATGAATGCAAACTAAAATTTGAGTCCAGGCTGGTTGGTGTGTTCAACTCTGAAAACCTGAGCGGTACTATGTACCTGTATTGGGATGTACTGTGTGAGCAATGAACAGTTCAGCACATATAATCTGAGACACAATTTGACTGATACAGTCGGATGTGCGCTTCTCTTTGTTTCTCTCCGTGTCTGTCTGTGTCTCCCTCCCTCCTTTCCTCGACTTCTCGCGACAGCGGCAGGCCTGGTCTGGATGGAGCTCTTCGAAGTGACCTGCAAGATGCTTCTCTTCTCGGTGATTCTGCTCAACATCCTGGTCGAGATGGTGTTCCACACTTGGCCGGCCCCGGCTTTGGATACAACCGCCTTCTGAAGGTTCCCAGCCATCCGGTTTTGTAGGTGCTTAGATGTGGCGGTCAAAACCAATGGCATCTCATTTTGGGGTAGGTGCACCACCCATTTTACACTATTTTAGTTGGAATTGGGATATTCATTGGGGGTGCGGGATTTTGACCCATGGCCGTTAGTTGGCTGAGTAGTTTCCACACCAAAAGTCAAATGTTTCGCAGGGCATTTGGAACAGCCCAGTTGTTGAAGAGGTTCGTCTTGGTCGACGTGCTGAAAGGTCAGCTCTTGGATTTCTTGTTGCTTCCTGCTATGACATGTCGGCAACCGGCACCCAACAAATTCCTCAAAACTGAGGGAACCTGGGCTCGTGGGGGGGTCTATTGCTATGACACTTCGAAGCCCAGCACCACGCCCTTCAAAGCTCCGAAGGTTCCATGCCCATTCTGAACAGTGTGTTGGGGGGCGTGCCGTTACAACTTGAGCAATTCATACTCAGGAAATCCAAGGGCAATTCTACAGCCTACCGTTCCCTTCACCGTCGTTGGCATGTCGCTTTTTCCTTCTTCCGCTTTCTCGGGTGAAAGTTTTTACATGCTCAATCTGCGGGGTGCTGTCTGTCATACTTAATCTGTGGGCTGCGAACCCCCCCCCCCAAAAAAAAAAAACACGTGGCGCGAGGTTTCGCTGGAAGGGTGGTCCAGTTCCCTGCCCCCCTTTCCTGGGCTCCCGACCCGAGCCGATCCAAACCTCGCGGCTCGCGGATCCTCGCGTGGGGTGTCGTTGGGAGGCAGCAGCCAGAGCTGGCCGTGCAGCTGATCAAAGAGCTGCGAGTGGCACGTCGAATCGAAGGACTTCCATTTGAAGAATAGTTTAAAGGGAATCGATCACCGGAAACATTTTTTATTTTTTGCCGGCGAAAAAGCAAATGGAAGAGGATGGATCTTGGGTTTTCCGGATCAGGTTTAGGTTGAGGGGAGCTCCACGTTAGCGTACAGGTTTGCTGACTTCAATGCAACTGGCGGCTTGTGACCCTTCAAGAAGGCGCCTTCAAGTGGCTTCTTGTTTGGTGGCTGTGGCTTTAGGTTCAGCTTGATTTGTTGTAATCAGGTGGAGCTTGAGGTTTGTAATTGGATTTAGGTTGAGGTTTGTACCCTCCCACCCTTTTCACTTGGAACCTGACGTTCGGGGGGGTCCTTGTTTGGACCATTTTCGATTGAAGGGACAGGGTGCCGAACCTCAGGTTCCATGTTAATTGGTGGGAGGGCAATTGGGTTTGCCTTTGGCCCCTCTTGGTTTCGCATTGAGGGATGAGTCAGTAGCATGGCAATGTTGACAAATTGGTCCGTATGGGCCACGCTGTTGCGAACCGCGCCCGATGTCACAAGGTCCAGTCCGTAATTCCTGTTCAATTTATGTGGGGGCGGGCCGTGACTTTATCCGACCTCGTTCCTGACACATGGCGGCTTGGTGCAGGTGATGCAACATATACCCCGAAGCTCCGGGGAAGTTTTTCTGAACAATCAGTGCTTCATGCATGTACTTGGCCATCACTTCGTCTTTGGCGTCTTCAAAATCAGTACAGATGATCTGCATGAATAGCTACCTATGAAATGCACAGTATATATACCTGGCACGCTTGAGTTGTATTCTTTGCCTACTCTTGCAGATTGCCATTGAGTGGGAACCTCAAATGACGAGACATGTCTGGTAGTCTTGCATCTGCCGCGAATGGCCGTACGTTGCCCCATCACAGTCGCAAAGCTGTGAACATCCATACGGATTTCTTCTAAAGCACCAATAATGCCAACAGTGTGAGCAACACTTGCTATACATCAGCCTTTTTTGGTGGTGAATTTCCTACCAGGTGCGATCTAGCCTTGTTAAACCGAAATCGAAGCAACCCGCGGCCTCTTTTGACTTCGAGCTGAAGCAGAGATAAAACCCTCCTGAGGTCCTGAACCTGAGGTGCTGAACCCAAACCACGTCACGTCCCCTCCTCCCCCCCTGGGCGTCCGCCGCAGCTCCGCCGCATCCCGCCACATCCCGCTCTGGGGGCGCGCACGCTTCGGCTGAGTTGGGCTTCCCGGTGGTGGCGGGGGTGTCGATCGCCGCGTGCTGGCGAGCCGCGGGGACGCGGCTGGAGCTGTGCTGCCAGCTGCAGCGCTGCGGCCTGCTGCTGGTGCTGCCCGCAGCCCAAGAGAAACCGGGGAGTGAGCCAATTGCAGCTGGAGTTCTTGGTGGTTCACCAGGTGTTTAGGTGGTTTAGTGGTTTCATTTTCAGTTTTTAAGCCACAAGTTAAACTCTGAGCAGGGGATCTGAGCCCAAGTGCAACCAGACCGAACTGGGAGAGTTTGGCTCCTCAACAAGTGTGAGACCTCTCGGTGTGGGAATGCGTGTTGGTGGGGTCTGAAGCAATGGCACATGTATTCATGGTGGTTGTGTTCCTCGTGCTCCTGTTCCTTCTCACATCTACCTCCAACTCCTGCGATCCCATTCAGCAAAGGCTCCACCACAAAATATGCAAAGATGAGAACATATAGCACATCAGCTCATGCGCATGGAGCTTGGTCAAACGTTGCAGGAGCGGGCAAGGAATCATAGCAACTTGGCCACGGAGGGCAAGAAAGAGCGAAGCACGGAGAAAAAAACAACAATTAAGGAACCGCAAAGGACTAGATAAAGTATCAGGAGGAAGGGAAGAAGCCAAGTGAGGCAAAACAACAGCCGAGGGTTGAGTAAGAGGAGCCGGAGAAGCCAAACTTCAAGTACCGGCAGCCACCAGCAGTATGCTTACGTTCTCTGTGGTCACAATGTCAACCAAAGCTGGTCAGGACGCACCGAAGCCGGCTTTGCCGAGGGTCATGTTCCTGATCTCGGTGATCCGGCGCAGCCGCAAGTATGCAGCATTGCAAGAGAAGTGAATAGCTCATGGATGATAGCAGGACTCGGTTGTCCAAAGCCGACCTTTTGACCTTTTGGTTTTCCCATTTTGGTCCATTTTTAGTAGAGGTGCCAAAAGGTTAACCTTTTAGTTCTGGGTCCTTTGGGCAACTGAGAGGAAGCTTCTTCAGAACTCAAGGGCGGCAGACTCGCTGCTTCAGAACTCAAGGGTGGCAGATTCTTCCCCTTTGGCCTGCCTCCCATGTAACCATTGACAGCCACGTGCTGAATGGCCATGCAATCCAAAAGTCATTCCTTCTGCCAGCAAGGCAGGAAGGTCACAGGTGTTTAGCGCAGCTCTTCGCAAAGATGTATGCTGCCATTGTGAGCAGATGGGCGGAGAGAAAAGAGCGGCTTTACAAGGACATTCGCATGGCTTGCTTTTTCGGAGCTGCGCGTGGGGCCAAAAACGCCCGCAGCATATCGAGGCTCAAAAATACCACATGGGTATTGTTGCACGAAGAATCAAAAATCTAATCATGTGTAGGAAGTGAATTGTGGGTGGCAGCGTTCAAATCCTCGCAGTCCTTGCATTTGATTTGCACCGATGAGCAGCAAAAAGTGAACAATTTGTATGTCAATCGTTTTGTGGGCATGGATCCCTAGCGATTCCAACATTTCCAACACTAAGTTCAAAACTGCCCCGAGCGTTGTTAGATGGGTGGCCAAGCGGTTTTTGTAAAACCGCGAGAGCGGGCGTAACGGAACCCACGGCCCGAATCGTCCTCGTCCCAGGCCCGAATGGAACCCACCTGTTGTTTTTTTTTTGGGTTTTTTTTTTCCTGATCTAAGGGACCCCATCCAGGTGTTTTTGTTTCCTTTTGCTTTCGCTTCAACACCATTATAATTTCAATGGAATTTTTATAGAATTTAATAAGGAAGCAATTCTATTGAAGTTCGAATTCAATTACAAATTCCTTTGAAGCAATTTTTTATTGAATTTTAAAAAGAATTTAGATACCAACCAACCAATCCACAGCGCATTCCGATGGACTCCGACTCAGACAGCTCCGAGGCGCGCCAGCGATGTTTGTGCCCGAAGGCTTTTTTGCCTGCCTGAAAAACGGCTTCCAGTGACACACGAAACTCAAGGGAACGGGGATCGGCGCCTTTTTTCCACCTGGCTGTGGGTCAAAACCGTTTTGGGATCCCATTTTGGTTGGTAGGTGAATTCACCACCCATTTTAGTCTATGCTAGTGAGGATTGGGATGTTGGCTGGGGGTACGGGATTTTGACCCGGCCTCCCAGCTTGTTTAAAAGGAGGACGACGGTTCGTGAGCAAACTTGGACACGACTAGCGCCAGTCGCTTCAGGTACCGAAGAGGCGGCGCTTGGATTTGCCGGCTTGTGCCGGGCCCATAGTGAGGGGCGAATCCGTTCTTCGCACATTGGCCTCCCATGGTTGTCAAGGGTCCCCGCCAAATCCCAATAGGAGCTATTAGCGACTCCTACGGCCGAGCTCTTTTTCGCGTGGGCCACTTGAAATCGTCACAACTTCCCAGTCAAATGGCATGATTGCGGAGTGAGCAAGGGTGGCAGTTGTCAGTCTGAGGTATATTGGCCTCTGGTGAGATTGATAAGTGTGATGTTTGTGTGCCCGCGCCACGTGTTCGTTTGGCAGGGAGATGGAAGGTATTTGTCATGCAGCCGGCAGGCGGCTCACGCTTGCAAACCAAAGGACGCAAGGGCACGTGCGCAGTTTCAGCGGGCGGTTGACAACCAGTGCGGCCACAACAGCGCAGCAGGTGCAACAAGCGTGTTTCTGAACATGGGCACGTTTCATGCGGTTTTGTCTTACCCCCGTAGCCTTGCGTCTGGAAAACAGGCTTTCTGTGGATTTCACCTGTTCTTCCCCCTGTTGGCTCTTTTTAGTAATCCTTTAGTACCCTGTCGAGATGAGCGAGGAGTGGATTTTGATGGGCTAGGATAAGTTGTGCATTTGAGAATGAAGCAGCAGTCAATAGAACATGTATGTATTCTGTAAGGTGATGAAATGCAAGGTGTCACGTTATGCTTTTCACTCTGCCAATTTCAAAGCAAGCTCACCGATTCGGGGGTATAACTGGCTCACTATGATAAAAGTCCTTTACTTGGGGATCCAAATCCAAATCTGAGTTCAGCTTTCTTTTTGTAAAATGTGTAGATAGATAGTGGGGTGGTCTTGGGGGTTTTCGCCATGTAAATAAAATGAGTGCCACCACAACATCTACAGTTTTTGGAATCATTGCAAAATGTGTAGATAAATGGTGTAGTGGTCTTGGGGTTTTGACCACGTAAGTGCAATGATTACAATAACATCTGCAGATTTTGGAAATCTTGCCAAATGTGCAGATAGATGGCGGCGTGTTCTTGGGCGCTTCTCCACGTAAATGTAATGATAGCAATAACATCTGCAGCTTTTGAAATTATGGTTAACATGTGCAGATAGATGGTGTAGTCTAGTCTTGGGGTGTTCACCACGTAATTAAAATGTTCACCATAACATCTGCAGCTTTTGGAATCATTGTAGAATGTTCAGATAGATGGCGGCGTGTTCTTGGGCTCTTCACCACATACAGGAAATCAGGTTAAATGTGCAGATGGATGGTGTAGTGGTCTTGGGGTTTCACCACGTAAAAAAAAAAGGTTCACCATAACATCTGCAGATTTGGGAATCATTGTAGAATGTTCAGATAGATGGCGGCGTGTTCTTGGGCTCTTCACCACGTAAAGGAAATGATTACATTAACAATTGCAGCTTTTTGAATTGTGGTTAAATGTGCAGATGGATGGTGTAGTGGTCTTGGGGTTTTCACCACGTAAAAACAGTTCACCATAACATCTGCAGCTTTTGGAATTATTGTAATGTGCAGATTCGGTTTGCATGCTGTGAATTGTTTCTGCCACAAGGTGGCAGAGCTTTTCGAGAGCCGTCAGCACGGCCGGTCCCTCAGCTCATTGTTGTTTTTTCTTTTTGCGGGCCTAGTGTGGAATATCGGGCCGGTTGAAGGGTGGTGTCACATGGGTGTGTCTTTTTTTGAAACCCAGAAGAAAACCAGCAGTTTGGGGGGTACCCTTAAAAAGACGGCCCCGTTTGTGCACTCCTCAAAACAAACAAGTGCAGAGACATCCAACCAACCAACCACATTTCTTGGTAGGACATGCCGTTTTTCCCGGTTCGCTTGTTTTTCTTTTTTTCTCGAAGGCCAATCCTTGGAGCCAACGCTGGCACAAAGCTCGTTGGAGCTTTAGATTTTGACTTTTTGGATGCCAAATGGCCTGTGCAGCTGTCGGGGAGAAAAGGTTCCCATCAAGGACATGTTTTGTTTTCTTCTTTTTTTTCTCACATGAGAAGTTCCGCAATGAGTCAATGCACAAGAAGACAATGTGAACCTTTTGCCAATTTGTTTATTTGTACAATTACCCCACATTGTGGAAATTCTGCTTGGTCAAAGCTAGCTGTACCCGTGTAGACCCTTGGCTCACGGCGGTGGCTGAAGTCACGCCGATATCGATCGCGCCATGACTGACACGATGGTGCCCGCAGCTTGGCGTGCAGTGAGCCGGAGGACCTCCGGAGAAGAAACCACAAAAACGACCCCGCACACTCGAAGCGGTCTTTTTCCATCTTTTTCCTTTGTTTCTCAGTCTCAGTCCCTCATGCCATATTCTTGCCACATTGTTTATCATTGTTTGCTTTCCGCGGCGCCATCGGTGCGGTGGATGGGCATCTATCACGTGGTGCCAGGTGGCAAGCGCCCAACTAGGGGCCCCTTCTACCCTTCCTTCCACACCTGAATTTTGGGGCTCTGGTTTGAACTGTGCCTTTAAAGGGGCCATTTCTTTGGCCGGGTTCCATGTCGCAACGTGGAACATCCTTTTCCAGCTCTGCGGGGAATCCCGAATCCCAGGCCGGCGCGGAAGCCAGTGGCACATGCACAGCCTTCAATGCCGCGAAGGCGCGGCGCGTCGCACGTTGCGTCGCGCTCTTTTTGCTTTGCGAGGGGGGGAGGGCGGAGTTTTCGAGCCATGTCCCACTTTTTGGAACCTCCAGTGGCGATGGTTTTTGTGGACGCCCCCAAGAAATTGCAGCATCCAGTGACCCCTGATGGGGGGGACTTGGGAGTCGAAATGGTTTGATTCAAGCGGGGGTGCTCTTAGGACATCTGCCGTTTGCCAATCCTTGGAGGGTGAAGCGTTGAAACTCCATGCTGTCGCGCCACCCTACCATCTCATGGGGCCCTTGCCACCAGTAGTGCCCTTTTACCCGTTTTTGGGGGAGTACTAAAATCAACATAAATCGACTACAGAAAAAAAGCTGGCACCCTTATTCTAGCCTGTCTACAGGCCCTAGACAAGTGCAGGGGACGATGTCAATATGCAGCTTGGCCAACGAGCCAACAAAGCTGGGGAGAAGCAAGAAGCAAGGCTTGGGATCTCATGTCCCGGCTCAGGGCTTTGGCTTCATCGACATGGCTGGAGCGACCGTTTTTGTGCACAACTCCGATTGTGAAGAAGGCAAGCAACCCAAAGTCGGAGACCTTTTGACCTTCACGGTCGAGCCAAGGACTCTGTGTTGAAACAGCCTCGGTGTTTGCCGGCAGTTCTTCTTTCAATTTCCAGGCGCTGAAAAAGGGAGGCCATTCCTCAAAATTCCAGAGCAAAGCATGGAAAGCCATGCCTCAAGCTTCCCCCAAAACATGGAAAACGCCATTCCTCAAAAATCCAAAGCGAGCTATGGAAGGCTATTCCCCAAATTCCTTCACAGAAATGGTTTTCCCTGAGGAGAAATAACCCGGAGCAGATGTGCGCCAAGAACGTGAAGGGCTGCAGCGAGGACCGCCAGCCGGCCTGGGGCCCGGGCGGCGGCGGCGGCGCCTGGGCTGGACCAGTGGAGGGCACGGGGGCCCACACCGGCTCGGTGAAGAGCTTCGGGAGCAAGGGCTACGGCAGCCCGGCGGAAGTGGCGGCGCATGGCTCTCTCCCTGAGTCTCTCTATCTCCGTTTTTTTTTTCCTCCTCCCCGAGCTGATGCCTCTCCTTGTTTTACTCCGAAAAGGGAAACTGCCAGGAAAATGGAGGATGGCTGTTTTAAGCGTATGGCTCTCTCCCCCCTTTTTTTTTGAAAAGGAAATCCCCAGAAGGAGGGGAAGTCCATGTCTCTCCGTTTTTTAGCGGGGGGAACCCAGAAATGGTGGATGGCTCTCCTTTTTCGAGAAGGAGAACCCCCAGAAAAGGATGATCGCTGTTTTTTTTTGAACCCGGAAATGCTTGGGCGGTTGATGGCTGTTCTTGGGGCTTCCCTTTAAGACCGCCCGAAAGATATATAAAGCTGAGGATTTTCATCATTCCTTTGCGGGCTTAAAAGGGGATGGACATTTGCCCGAACATTTGCCAGAGGATGGTAGAAAGGATTCACCTCCGAACACAACTCGCGTTATTCTATTTCATTAGTTTGTTTTGTTTGGTGCTTGGTTTCGGACACCAACTGGTGTCATGGGTGTGGGTGTTTGTTACACATCAGCTGCAGCAATGCAGTCCGCATGTCAGGCTTTATCACCATGGATGACGGCGCTGAGACGCTCAGCTGAACCAGCAGGGGTATGGTTAAGGTTTGCGTCTTGGCTTTGGCATGGTTTGGGTGTGGGTTTGACGATGCTTGGCAGGATGTTCTTCAACGTCCGGGATTGCGTTGGCAGCAAGCCGATCGCCGGCGACAAAGTGAAGTTCGACATTTGCGACAGCGAAAGAAACCCCGGCCACAAGCAAGCGACAAACGTCACTGGCGGTAGCCAGCCGTTAGACGCTCCCCACGGTGTGGCCGGAGGTGGTGGCTATGGTGCCATGGGCGGTGCCTGGGGAGGTGATTGGGGCTGGGGCGGTGGCAAGGGCATGTGGGGTGGCGGCAAGGGCTGGGGCATGAAAGGCGGCCTCAAGGGCGGCATGATGATGGCAAACGGGCCATACGGCAAAGGCGGCTACGGCAAAGGCTGGTAGAGCTCCCAGCCTGGTACCTATAATCCATCTCCGTATGCAGTTTGGAGTTGCGCCAGAACACGGGGAAAAAGAGAGACGCTGGTTGCAGACCTCGTTGGCATGAGCAGATTCATCACCTGCATTGTACGAGGGATTGCCCTGCGAATTTTCTTGAATTGTCAAAAATGCAGGTGTCCTCATTCCATCGATCGAAATGCTTGGAACATGCAGTCTTTGCCCAAATGTTGGGCATGTTCTCGATGCAGAAGGCGTGAATCAGTAAGACATTGAAGGCTCACTGAGGGGCTTGCAGGGTTTCTTTCCAAAACTCACCCAGGGGGCGCACTTTACACTTTTTTCCCTGGTGCCTCTCCCTGTATTTCAGTGGTGGCCCAAAACGTGTGCACTGGTTTTTGGCTGGTCACTGGCCAAGTGATAAAGCGACCCTGAGCGACGGGAGGATTCGAGGCCCATTCTGTTTGTTGCTCTCTTACAGCAGTTTTCAGTAGCAGGTGAGGCCTGCAGTACGGCCGGCTGGTTGGTGCAAAGTGACACTGAAGTACATATACCAGAGGAAGAGGCACGTCTGCACATAGGGCTGCAACCCATGAGGCATGCCCAGGCCAACAAAGAAAGGCGGAGGAGTGGAAGCGGTGTGTTTCTCAAGTTCCCCTTGCTTTGACGCTCAGATGTTCTTCTAGGGCAACCTTCCCCATTCTTTCCAGGGATCCTTCTTTTCAGGAAACCATCCAAAACCCAGAAAAAAAGAAGAAACACAAACAGATCTGGTTTTTGAAAAAAGAAGGATGCTTGAAAAAACAAAAGGACAAGGAAGCAACCCCTAGAGTTCTCGCATTTTCTTGCCTTTTCGACCTCCATCCGTCCGTCCATCCGATCGATCCGCAGCTTATTGGACTCGGGGGCGGGCGTAGCCGATTTGGCGATTGGTTCCGATGGAGTGCTCGGGCACCTGTACCTCATGGAACTGGAAGGAGGGAGGGTCCGAGGGAGGGTTGGGGGTTGGGGTTGCGGGGGTTGGGGGTGTTGGGGGGGCTCGGGGGGTTGGGGGGGTTGGGGGGTTGCGGTCTTGTTGGGACCACTGCACTTCAGAGTGCCGACCTTTTTCCGAGTTGGCGCCGGAATCTGCGGCCTGAAACTGTTGGGAGCATTGAAGTTGGCGCCAGAAAGGTCCGCAGTTTTTTTGTTTTTGCCTTGCACTCTTTTTCACCACTTTTAACCAAGTGGACGGAATGCAACTTAAGCCTTCAAAGCTCTGCATGTCAGCTGTCACTTCAGGGCTTCGGCTTTATTGACATGGCGGGAGCCACTGTCTTCGTGCACCAGTCCGAGTGCGAACAGGGCAAGGTCCCGAAGGTGGGCGACGTCCTCACCTTCACCACGGAGCCTCGAAGAAACAACCCCGAGCAGGTGCCATGGCATGTCGTCCGGTTCCTGCTTCCCAGGCTTGTGGTGGATCACTCGGGGTTTTATTTCCAGCCACTGTGATACAAGTCACAATCTCCGCCTGAACAATCGGGGGGGTTTGTCTTGGGGGTTAGGCCCTTCTGTTGTATCACAGTGGGTTCCATTTCCCACGGCCCTGCACCTTCCGGGCACCGTTGGAGCCCGAAACGCGGCGCTTTATGCCAGCACACTCAGCAAAAGGGCACCACTTCTCGGCCTTGAGCGGTTGGTGGGGTTTTGTTTTCTCAGTTGCCCGAGGCCGATTTTTTTTTTGGGGGGGGGGTTTCCCGGTTTGGTCCACTTTTATTAAAGCCCCCCCAAAGGTGATCACCTTTTATTTCCAGCTGCTTTGGGCAAGCTGGGCTGTTCAAAAGCAATCCTCAATCCTTGCCTTGGGAAGTTACGCAAGGAGTTGCTCCTATCCGTGGCTTCTCCACAGGGATTTTATGGAAAGTCGGATTGGCCAACCCTCAGTGAGTTTTCATCCTGAGGTTTTCTTTTGGGTCCCACTTTTAGGAAGCTCCCAGAAGGTCCTGTCCTTGGTGATCAGCGTTTGGTTTCCAGGTCCTTCCCCCCCTCTTCCCCCGTTGCCGGGCTCGAATCCTCCCTCGTCCACCCCAACCCCCCCCCCTCAACCTCAAGCGCTGACTTGAACTCATACAACAGTTGCTAGCTTTCGTTTACCCCCTCCTCAAGTTCTCACTTCCTGAGTTCATGAACTTTAAACACTTTTTCGGCTTTGGACCATTTTAGTGGTATGTTTTTTGTTTGGTTGGCCTTTTCTTTTGGGCCCTCCACGCCAAGTTGTTTTTTTCCAGGTCCTCTGACCTCTGGGCCGCCGAGTCTGTTTTTTTCTCCCCCCGCTCGGGCGCGGTTTCCGAGCCGAGCGGCGCGCCGCTCGCGCTTGAGGTCCAGGCGAAGAGCGTGAAGGGCTGCACGGGCCAGGCGGAGGTGCCTTGGACCCCCGCCGGCTTCCAGGGCCCCATCGAGGGCACCGGCGCCCACACGGGGAAGTGCAAATCCTTCGGCCCCAAGGGCTATGGGTTCATCATCATGGAGGCGCGGCATTTGTTTTTTGGAGAAAGAATACATTGTTTTGTTGATAAGGTTTATTATTATTATTGGTTTTGTGATTATTTAGTTTTTTTCTTGTGGGGGGGGGGAGGGGGGGCGGCCAAAATAGATGGGAGAGTCGGACAGTTGCGATGTGTGTTTTCTTCGTGCGCGCCATGTGGTTTTGGGCGAAGGATGGGAAAGCTGGACCTGGATTCCGTAAGTTGCCGGTTTGCCATTGCCTCATTGCCTTGAGTTCCTGGAGTTTAAGCAATTTTGGGAGAGGCCATTTCCGTGGGAAATCAATAAGCTCCAGGTGACATACCCAACAGCTTCGGAACGTTTTTCCAGAACCCTCCGGGCTGATTTGGGCGTATCACGACCCGAAAGCTTCCAGCGTTTGACCAGCCACATGTCAGGACCTTCCAGGACCGGGTCCCTGTCAGTTGATTGGTAGGATAAATGTCGAGAATTTCATTCAAAGCATAAAAGGCGATCCAAGTTGCTGGTGGTTCTTTTGCGACTCGCGACTCCTTTCAGCTGAAGGCCACGGCCGCGCAATCCGCATGAGCGCAGATGTTTGGCTCTTGTTGCTACCTTCAAGCTGTGTAACTCTTGCCTTCTGTACAGCTTGTGTCCCTTCCATGTGCTTGCCCTCCTTGTTCGAAACGCCTGCGCCGGCAATCAGTGTTCCAAAGATTGGCATTGGCTTCGTTTTAGGGCGGCCGGCCTTGAACCGAGCAAGTCTCGCGCATCAGGATGGTGCTGAGATGTTCTTCAATGTCAAGGACTGTGTGGGTAGCAAGCCGATTGCCGGCGACACGGTGAAATTTGACGTGGTGCAGAGCGATTCCAAGCCAGGCCAGATGCAGGCGGGGGATGTCAGCGAAGGTCGGATGCAACCAGTGTTCAGGGAAACCAAGTAGCAGGGATACAAGGGGAACCAGGGATAAGGGGAGGATTCCCCCTAAATGAACCTTCACTAAGTTTGATGTGGAAAATGGCACCAAGGGAATCCCCCCATATCCCCGCTCCCTCCGTATCTCCGCTTGCTCAACTCGATTCCTTGTACTTGCGGGAGCTCCAGAGCAAGTTGCTCTGGCGACCAGGTCCGATTTGCCACCCTAAGCCAGTTTTTTCATCCAGAACGCCTTGCCGAGGCCAAGAACATCACAGGCGGCAGTCAGTCCTTGGATTCCCCACATCCGGGGAGCAAAGCGAATTGGGGCAAAGGGGACTGGGGTTGGGGCGGGAAGGGCATGATGGGAATGATGGACTGGGCATTCGGCAAGGGCGGGATGGGCTGGGGCGGCGACAAAGGCTGGGGCAAGGGGGGCTTCGGCGGCGGCGCGATGGGCCCCTACTCCAAGGGCTTTGGAAAAGGCTGGTGAGCGGCGAAGCCAATGAGTGCCAAGCCCGGTTCGATCGTTCCCGTGGCAAGCCAATGAGCAAAGTAGCTGAGCGTGCGAAAGCTTCAGCTGCAAATATGGAACCAGCGGTTAGGTGAGCTTGTGGCTGTCAGATGGCAGCTGAAGCTGAAAAAAAAAAAAGCAACCCGAGGTAGCGGTTTTGTCGAAGAGGCGAGAGACGGGATCTCGGCAAAACGGCGGACCGTTTGCTTGCGAGGAGTCCTTTTGCGAGCCTGGGATTCGGTTTGGGTGTGGTTCCTTGTTTGAGGGTGCCTGGAAGGGACAGCAAAAGGACATCGGGTTCAATTGTCGGGATTCCCCTGTTCTGAGACAAACTTCTGCTTTGCGGTCAGGGTTGTTTCCCTGACCTGAGGGGGCAGTTTAGGAATTGGGTCACCAGAGCCTGTCACACAGACCTCAGCTGTTTGTAAATTCAGGGGGTGATACTGCACCACATCTAGTCGTAGAGTGGCATCTGGCTAGCACTTGGCACAGGTTGTGCATGGTTGAGCATGCCTCCTCTTCATAGATGACCGTGCGTGCCGGTGGCTATGAAGTCCGCAAACCGGTGGAAGTGCAAAAAACCCCCACGTTGGTGTTGTTAACGCCTTACCCGCGTCTGCCGAGTGTGTTGTTTGCTTCCTCTGGCCTTTGACCATGGCCCAAGAGGACCTTTCGGCAAATTGGCTCCGATCAACCTACAGGTTAGACTTCCCTTTGGCTTGGAGAGGGCTTCTCAAGACTCCTACTGATGGACGTAATCCTGCAAGAAACCTGGAATGATTCGATTCATGATTCCCCAATGTAAATACCAACAAAGGTTGAGGTTTCAACCATGGGTTCATTTCCTGGTGCGCTTTATGGATGTATCAACCATCCACGGTATGGCCGAATTTCCCCCACATAATTTCAGGTTGTTCATGGTTTTTCGTTTCCTTAAGGGATGAGTGGTTGGGTTTCCATTCCCACTACAACTCCTTCACTTTGAGCAGATCCGGAGAAGGGGGAAAAAAAACAGTAGGATCTCCATTTCCTTGTGGTTGGACTAGGTCCCCCAGTAGTGCCCTTTTACTACCTTTTTTTTTTTGGGGGGGGGGGGTTCCCTATACTAAAATAGACTACAGAAAACAGTTGGTACCCTTATTCTAACCTCTCTACTGGAGGACCTACTGGAAGTGTCGCAAAATCAACTTGGGTCCCGGACCCCCCATAGGGGGCCTTTTTGGTTGTGGTCGAAAAATAGATGGGTTTCGATTCCTGGTTTACCGGTCACCTGGTGGTTTAATCATCTATTCGTTGTAAAAGGACACCTATGCCCCCCCCCCTCTGCCAGTCATACGGGGATGTTCCGCCGAGATGAGCCTCTAGTCCTGGCGCAAGCGGTCCACGTGCGGGTGGAGGTGACCCCCAGGCGGATCGCTCCGATCGACCGAGATCCAGCTAGGTGCCCTTTCGCACCCCTTTTTCGGTTGGGAGGGGTCCCCTACTAAAATAGACTACAGGAAAAAACCAGGTACCCTTATTCTAACCTCTCTACTGGACCTGACTTTAGTGCCAGTCGCCTTTGTGGTAGCGGCGTGATTCCCGTTTCAAGGTGTATGAACTTGATGTGTGATCGACTTGAGTTGACTTCACAGTAGCGGTTTTGCCATGTTTCGACATCGCCCCTTCATTTCTTTCGGTGGCAGCTGTTCTCCATGTTCCAGGGTAGTTTTGCCAGTTGGAAACTGGGAAAGTCGGACAAATCCGGTGACCCCTGTGTCCTGCCCATGTTCTCCTACTGAAGGGACCTCAGTTGCGGCTCGCCCGCTTACCCGCCGCGCAGCTTGCGGGTGACGGTCCTCGAGGCCTCTCCCGGGCGCCAAGAGAAGTTGGTGGAGCAGGCGGGGCGAGTTTTTTTTTGGGGCCAAAACGCGGCGCGCGGGCGCCTGGCGCTTGGAAGAGACAACTGGGAGGCCAAAATGGAAAACCCAAATCTCGCCCCAACCCCCCAAAAGAGTTTTGGAAGGCCAACATGGAACCCAAACACAAGAGTTTCTGCCAGCTCGATTGAAAGGTCTTAAAGCCTGGACCCGATTTTTGGAAGATCTTGTGACGCTCCATGTGGTCGCCAGTCCCTGGAAATTGGAAAGCCCAAGAGGCCCTTGTGGACAATCTGTGTCAAGCCATTGAAGGCTTGATGGCTTTCTCGGCAAGTGCTCCCTAGATTCGAGGGGCAAAAGACAACAGAATGGTGACGTTGACCGCGTCCACCTGCGAAAAAAATAAATAAGTTAATCCTTACCTGGGGTTACGCAAGTCCCCTTTGTAGTGGTTTTGTCCAATTGGGACTATGGAAATTAGGATTGGCCCACCCTCCATTTTGAACCGCCCAGGGTTCGGATCCCGCCAGTCCCTAAGACCCACCAGGCCGCAAGCCTGGGGTGAAGAAGAAGACAGAGACTGCCACGCAGACCTTGAATTTGATGTTTGTGCGTACTCATTATCTCAGACTCATAGTTGTGCATATATTTCCACCTTTGCGTATGGTATAGGTGTGTATCTATATCTTTGTGTATATATATATATATATACGCACCTTTCTCTCACTATAGCGAAGCCAGCGGCGGGGTTTGTGAGCGGGTAAGGCCTTGGGTTGGTCCATCGCCAGGCGGTGGAAGATGCGAGCCAGGGCAAGGACCAGTGCTGGCCGCGCGGCCGTTTGTATCGGCAGGCCGCGTTGCAGGTAGGCCTTGGAGTCGTTTGTTGTTTCTTGCCTTTGGTTACGAATATTTTGTTTATTTTTCCCTGTGGGTGTTAAAAGGAACCTATCACTACTATTTTTTTTCTCAGGGGACTTAAGCAAACGGAGGTTTTCAGGATCAGATTCCCAGGAGCCACAACCCATACCACACTTCTAGGGTGCTGGCCATTTTTGGGATCAGAATCAAGGTCGGCTTCGTGGCCAAAGGCTTTGGGTCTGGCCTGGAGCTTTTCTCCGGCTAGGCCAAGCCACAGAGTTCGGGAAAACGGGGCATGCGGCTTTTTGCGGAACCTGGAAAGCACGTGAAACAAGTTCGTTGGAACAAAACAAGTGGTATCCCCAGCGGCCTCTCCTGGAACCGAAGCTCCGGAACCCTCCCCGAAAGATGCCCTACCCCATCTGATATGGCACGATTGCCTTCCCAAGATTTGGAGAGTTGGGGAGATGAGCCGTGGGGGGAAAGACAGGCATGGCACTTGTTGGCGTACCACGCTTCTGGTGATTGGGTAGCAGGCCATTGTCAGATTCCACATGTTGGTGTATGAGTGAAGTCGGGAGGTTGCATGTTTGATCCGCAAATGCGAATGCACCACCCGAAGGCTAGTGAATGGGGGTGTCCTCTTTCAGGGGATCCCACCGCAAACATATGGCTTTCCTATTGGCTTCCCTTTACCACCAAAGAATGGTACGCTAAAAAAAGACAGACCCATATGCCCAAAGTTTCAGCTTTCCACTCACCCATACCTTGACGAGCCGCTCGCATCGAATCATTCGGCCAAACCCGGGATGCACTTCTCACAATTTTCGTGCGAGATACCGACGGCCGGCCAGAACGGCAGAACGGCACGAACGGCACTCGGCCATCCGAGGCTGGACCCCTATGGCGTCGCCTTGTGGCCTTCAGCCCTGGCGCCTGTGGCTTTGATCTTGGTCCCCCGTCCGGTTCCAATAGGACTTTTTTCGGGGTTTAGTGGGGGGGTTCCAGTGAACCCGCTAAGAATGAAACTTTGGACAGGAATCCAGGAAAGTCACAGGGCAGCTTCTTGGAATCTGAGCTTTGACTTTCTGTCGTTTCATTGCTTTGGCAGTTTTGTTCTTTTTCTTGGGGGTGCTTGTCTGTCGCTTTCAAGCCCAGAATGTGCAGCAAGATGCCAGTGACCTGCTTTTCGGGGGCCAAGTTGGAGCGACGTTCCCGTGAGTTTTGTAGGCGAAACATGGGGATCCCGATGAAAATGGAGCCCAATCTGTGTGTGTTTGTGCGGTTGGTTGCTTGGTTGCTTGGTTGCTTGGTTGCTTGGTTGCTTGGTTGCTTGGTTGCTTGGTTTGTTGGTTTGTTGGTTTGTTGGTTTGCTTGCTTGCTTGCTTGCTTGTTTGTGTTGAGGCTATCCTTTTCCGGTGAGCTTAAAGGAAAACCAAACGGAAACCAAACGGTTTGTTGGGTCCCAAATGTTGGCGCACACACACACCCCCTCCGCTTGTGGTTTGCCGAGGTGCTGGCACAGGCAGTTGCCAGCTATGCTCCGTCCATGCGGGGCCGGCGCTTGCTGGACCGGGGACCGGCCGACGGCATGTGAGCCACTTGCTCAAAACCGATTCGCGTAGATGCAGGTTAGTAAGGGGCCATCCCAGCTAGAAAGAGTTGCGGCCGCCCTCTTAGTTCTTCACATGGTTCTGGGTAGGCCACTTCTGATACCGGGTTTTGATTGTGACTCATGGCACTGTGCGCAGCTGTGGCGCGAGTCTTTGGATCAGTTGTGATATCTAGCTGGTTGGACGGGAGCGAGCCAAGGGGCTCTGGGTGCTCAAGTTTGCATTTGAATAGGCAGCTAAGGAGAGCTACCGTCAGAACATGGTAGTTAGGATGACTCTGGTAAATTCTGGCAGGCTACGGGATAGCTTCGGTTGGTTGATGGGCGTTTTCCGGCCGCATTGAGGCCGGCCAGCAAACAACCAATCGTTGCACGGAGATGTTCGCTGTTTGTTCACCGTGGAGGAGCTCGGCGCCGGCTGTGGCCTGGCCTCGTTGGTGGTGCATGCCCCAGAGCGAGTCCTTGTTGGGGGTCCTTGTTGGGAGTCCTTGGATCCCTGGTCTTGGCGGCTCCCAGCCATCCGGTTCCTTAGCCTTTTAGCTTTGTAGTGTTTAGTGGCAGTTCCCGAATTTAACCCACTAGAAGTTAGCCACTTTTAGCGGGGGATCTGACTTCCCTGATATGAAGCATGATTCTAGGGACACTTCCATTTCCATTCTTTCCAGGGATCCTTCTTTCCAGAAAACCATCAGAACCCCAGGTTGGAAACAGCTTTGTTTTTTGATAAGCATGATGGTTGAAAAGAATGGACAAGGAATGAACCCCTAGAATGATGTTGTTTTTGTCGACATCACTCACTTGTGCGTCCTCTTTGGACTTGCCGACGCTACTCTTCGCCCGCTGCTTACCCGACCGCCTCGAAACGGGACATTATTACCTGTTTGCACTGCTAATGCTGATGGATTCCTGCGGGATTTTGCTTGAGGAAGTGGGTATGGCTCAAAATTAAAGAGCTGAGGTTACGCGGGTTTTTGGCTTTGGCTCCATTTACCAAGGGGCCATGTTGGCACCACTTTGTTGAGCCGCAGCCAAGTCTTTACTTTTTACGGCGCTTTCGTGTGATGCCCACTTGTGCATCACTTCATTTGACAGTTGCAGCTTGCGGTCCGTTGGCCGTTTTGCACCCGGGAACTCCGGTGCAGCAACTTGGCAACCCCTGTCTCAGCTTCCAAAACCCCGGTGATTCCACTTCCCCAAGAGAACCACCCTACTGAAAGGAACATGGCAAGTTACCTACACTCAGTTGTTCAAAGCGAATCGACCTTTTGACCTTTTGGTTTTCCCATTTTGGTCCATATTTAGTCATGGCCACAAAAGGTGATCGCCTTTCAGTTCCAGGTCCCTAAGGGGCAACCGAGTATAACCATAGATAACCAGCTGGTGGAAGGCCGATACGGAGCTGGTCTTCGAAGTTGCTGTTAAATAGGGAGCCTTTCGGAGCTACCAGCTCTGACATAGATAAGCACCGTTTTGCAAAGTACGGCTACAAACCATTCTAGATGGGAGTCTTGCACCAGCCAGGAAGCCGTCCCCTCTAAACTATATTGGTTGGAAGGGAGCCAAGGAGCCAAGGAGCTGGCTGGACCCAAGCGGCCACTTGATTCGGGTAGAAGGTTACGGGACAATCCCCTTGCCATAAATAGCTGCGGATGTCCGCCTTCTTAATTCTTCACATGGCTCTGGGGATCGACCATTTTAGCTTTGGTGCATTTTGCTTGGATGTTAGGACTTTAACTCTTTGCCAACTAATGGGGTTTTCCATTAAACCACTAAAAGCTAAAAACTGTTAGCAGGGGAGCAGAAAGCAACCGAGCATAGGTACAGTCAGGCATTTTCGCTGAGTCGGAAATTTAAATCCAGTTTGCAATGAGGCTTCTGAATATGACACACGTTTTTTGGAGATGCATGTGCGAATCATGAGGCATACAAGCCAAAAGTTACTACCCGAGTTAATACATGCCTGCCACCTGGCATGGCACCTGTGGGGAGGTATCTGGAAGATGAATTTTCTTTTGAAGGGACCCCCTGTCAGTGGGAAGGAAAGTACCGGGTTTTGCGTATGACTCACTTGGGCATGACATAGGTCACCACCTAACAACCTGCCCCACCTACCCAATCTACCCCACCTACCCCACGTACCTCACCTGGACCCAAGCGGCCACACGTCACGTCAACCCCACCCCCTTGAAAATGGAATTCCAGGGGGGATTTTGGCCCCTGGACATCTCCATTTAGGGTTCCATTTTCCCTTTTGCAAGACTGGTTGCCTGCCTGGTTGCCTGGCTGCCTGGTTGCCTGGTTGCCGTTGGTTGGTGGATTGGTAGGGGGATGTCCTCTCCAAAGCCGACCTTTCGACCTTTTGGTTTTCCCATTTTGGGCCATTTTTAGTAGAGGTTCCAAAAGGTTAACCTTTTAGTTCTGGGTCCTTTGGGCACTGAGTGTCACGTCCAGGCGGCCCGCGAGGGCTTCGAGGTCTTGGCCACGGACTTCCGGCCCACGCCGCTGGCCTTGCTGCGAGCCGCCGCCAAGCGCCAGGCGCGGAACGCTCCCCGGCGCTGGGCCTGCGGAGGTGGAGCCAAACCGCCTGGAAAAACCCGCCCCCCGCACTTACTCCAAAAGGTTCCTGGAGAGATGAGAGTCACTTTTGGGGAAGAGCTTCTCTTTTTATTGGAGCGTGTTTTTTTTTAACCAACAAAAACGCACACCATGAAGCTTGCTCAGGAAGTCCCCCCAAACCCTGCGACTCAGACCACCGTTAAAACAATGGGCCTCATATAACCACCATGGTTTACCTAAGGATTGTCATCCGACTTGGGTCAACCTTTCTTTTCATGGGGCTTGAAGCCCAGGGCAAACTTACTCCTTACTCCAAAAGGTTTCTGGAATTGAGCCACTTTTTGGGAAGACCAGTTTTAGGTTTCTTGTGTTTTTTTTTTTGGCGGGGGGGTGTACCAACAAAAACACACAAGGAATCTCGGACTTGTCTTGGCCAGTCCACTCAAGAAGTGAGCGAAGCAAGCACGGGGTCACATCCTATTGAAGTGTGTCTCTTTCTAGAATTGGACCCCCCCCCAAATACACAAATAAATGAATGAAAAAGCACAAAAAATAGTTTTCCTTTCGGTTTCTCTTTAACGCCAACCAAAAATGAGGTTTTCCCCCAACAAAACAAACAGGCCCATGTTGATGGTAAAAAATTCGGCTCTGAGCCGACGGACGTCCTCAAAAAGCAGGCTGGTTCGAGGGGAGCGAGGGATTTTTTTTCGTGACTGAGCCACCCTTTAACTTCCCCAGAATTAGCTGCCCTTTTTGCTTTTTTTTTACGCTTTTTTCGGGGTTCCCTTTGTTTTCCACTAACCTGGCAAAAAAATTGCCGGGGTCCCAATTCCAGCCTAGTTAAAAGGCAAATGGCAGGTTACAGAGCGGAGCCGGACTCGGAGCTACCGATCGGATGCTTACGGACATGGTAGGTAGAATCATGTGTTTAAGCTGATGGCACTGACATGGTTGTGTTTTGTTGGTCTGCACTGTTGTTGGCATGCTTTTAGGTGTTTAGTTTTCTTGTTGGTTCCGTTTTATTATTCTATTTGTATTTTTTTTTTAATTGTTTGACTAGGCGGGGGGCTGCAACACACAGTTTGTTGCTACCATTCCAAGGGTTGGACAGTTGTCTTACCCCATGGAATGTTCAATTAAATGATTGATGTTTCAAATAAGCAACATGGGTTGTTTAAGGGACATTTGTTGGCTGTCGTGACTCTGCCTTGCCTTTCAAGCCGCTTTGAGTTTCCTTTAGACCTGTGCTGGTTGGTTTTGGCTACCCAGCTCTCTGTGTGGCCTCGTTTTGACGTGCATCCACACTTGGCCCGCACGGTGGATGCGCCAGTCCAGCGCGTTGCCACTCGCGGGCGTTTGGGTTTTTCTCATTGGGGTATTTGTCTATGGGCTGGGGAAGCTTCTATTCGGAGAAGGGGCTTGATGGTTGTTGCAGGTTCCACTGCTGGCAGTTGGAGCTCTTTTGCAGCTGCTGTTGTTTGGCGAGTATATCATGGCTTCACGCTGTAGTTCAAAATCTCCCATGGGGGCATAACAGTGTCCTGTCGCACTGAACCTGTCCTAATGCTACTTGCATGGTTTGATCACTGGGCATGTGTCTTTCATCCAATTTCAATCTGTGTGAAGCTCACCATGCCACCAGCTGATGCGTCTTCCCCAAAAAGGTTTCCCTGGCTGAATCCTGGGTCCCCGTCACACCCCCCGCCCCCACCCGTCCCAAAGAGCCTAAGGATACCCTTACCAGGTTGGTTTCTTCAAGATGAACGAGAATGAAACCAAGAAACAGGTTTGGGTGTGTCTTTTTTGGTGCTACCCCATTTTTGGTGGATTTTAAAGGAAACCACAAGGAAGCCGGTTGCACCATGTTGGGGGGGGGGCCCTAAAAGCCGACAGCCGCCTCGCCAGGGCCTTGCCGTGCGCACGGCGCTGCTAGACATCGAGGCCTGTGATCCGCTGCCTCCGGCGGAGCTGGTGGTTGCCGCTGACGCCCGGCGTCCCGATCGCCCGAGCCGACCAAATCCAAAACCCGATCCTCCGGGGTCGGAGGGTCTCGGAGCGCAAAATGCTTGACCGCATTTGAGAAGGCCTGGGGTTTTGCGCGCCATAGAGAAAAACAAAAACACAAAACAAACAACACAAATATTTAACATGAGCTCGAAACCGAGAAATGCGCTCTGTCTTTTGGGTGAGGCACGTTAAGGCCTCGGAAATCCTTGACTCCATGGCACTCCATGGCACTCCATGGTTGCATCTTTCTTTTTTGCGAGGCACGCTGAGGCGTTGCCTTAGGGGAAACCGTGGCGGACTCCATGTTCTGTTGCGTATTTATGGGTCTGTCTTTTTGGAGTTGATGCCTCTTTTGGTGGAGTTGAACAGCGAACCAAAGGAAAGCCCAGCATTTTTGGTGGTTTCAAAAGGATCTTCAAAGGAACCCCCCTCATTTTGTGGGCCGTCGCGACAAACAGGAGCATAGCACAAGTTGTGATGCCCTGTCCCGCCGTGGGGTCCTGCAGTTCTCAATCTTCCGCATTGCTTCCCGCGACTTGCCCTATGATGCTTTCATCATTTTTCATCTATGACTTTATGCCCTGGTCCTTGGGACGGCTGTTCCCGACTTTGCGAGGAACGTTCCTTACATTCCTCGGAAGGCACGTTCAACTGATGTGTCCCACCCTGTACTAGCGTGTGGCATGGGAAGCTTCGGAGCGAGCATTATCTCAGTTGTTCACTTCGACCTTTTGCTTTTCCCTTTTTGGTCCCTTTTTGTGGCCCCAGAGGGCGTTGGACATTTTAGCACGTTCTTCCTTTTTCTAGTTCCTGATGCTTTGGGAATGAGAATGTTAGATTCTAGTATTTCGGTAGGCTACAAAGTTAGCATGTTTGCGTGAATGAGAAGCGGGGGGCCTACCCACATGCTAAATTCACGCAAAAAGCAAAAACAACAAGGGAATGACTCGCAATTGCCGTTTGGATATGGACCAGATAGCCGGTTGCCAAGTTGCCAGTTCTTTGTTTGGTTGCAACCGGAGGTCTTCTACAAGGCAGAGACCGCCCTGGCAATGGCCCGGCGGGTAGCAGAGGCGTATCTGCGGAAAAGTGCCCGGGACTCAGAAGACGCTAGCGGCCCTGGCTGAAAATGATGCCAGCGGTGTGTGTGTGTGTGTGTGTGTGTGTGTGTCATGGGGGCTGGGGGGGAGGGAGCGGGGGGGGGGGGAGCCCAAATAAGCCCTAAATACGGCCTTATTAAGGGCTTAAGAAGGGCTTATTTGGGCTCCCTCCCCCCAGCCAACATGAGTGTGGCGTGTCTCAACAAGTTTTTTCCTTCATGTGATCGGTTTCTTTTTGCTTTTACATCCACATGTTCTGTCTCTAGTTTGAGGCCCGGATGGCTTTCTTTGATCGACTGGGTCAAGCTCTCGTCTACCTTGACTCAACAGACTGCTTGCCCGGCATTTGGCTATTCCTGACACCGAGCCCTGGTAACGCTGCGGCGGCCGCAGGAAGCATGGAGAATACCATCACGCTTACCAGCCTTTCAGCCTTTCACCGATCTAAGGGGGAACACTCAGAGGAAGCATGCAGGTTGAAAGCCTAACAGGGCTTGAGGGTTGTTTGCATGTTCTAAGGCGTCGTTGTGCATTGCTGTTTCCCAACTATTGCATCGATGCTCGTAGCTTGGTTATTTCCAGATGTTGGTCCAACATGGCCTGAAGCGTTGCATGCCTTCAGAGCCCCAGCCCCAGTCATTGATTGCGCGAAGTCACTGCGAGTTCGTTGCACTGTATTGAGGTCAAGAAACCTAGGTGGCGTAGTATGCTGTTCTTGGCCGAGACAAATTACTCCTGGGAAACGGCAGGGACACCGCAATTTATGAAATCCTCAAGACGAGCTGGTCCAAGGGGGGAGGGGTCCTGAGCAATTGGGCTCTCAACTCACCCCCTTGCACCTACCCCCCGGAAGGGATTCCACAAACAATGCCAAAATGCCACCAGGAAGGCTTTCACATCCCATAACAGGTCGTGCTCGTGGCAGACGTGGGGCGGCCAAACTGCCCGCGACCTAGTCGCGCAGTTCCGCTCGGCCACTCCGGTCTGTAGGCAATGACGCCCATTGACCATAAACTGTGCCCATTCTGTTTCATTGTTGTACTTGGATGCTCGGCCAAGTTCCTCGCGGAAAACGCGGAGCTTTCAGATGTTCTTGCAGATCACGTTGAGAGTTGGTAAGTGCTGAGAAACGTCGGGTACAACCTACGAACAGCCATGCCAACCCCAGGGAGACTTCAAGATCTTCCAGACGATGTCTTGTTTGCATGAGCTGAACAGAAACCACTTTTCAGATGTCCCCTGAAGTGGTTTGCAGCCCGGTGGTTTGGATTTGGGTTTGAAGCTCTGGCTCTTGTAGAGGGTAGGGGGACTGTACCACCAACCCAAACCACGAATTCTCATTCGGAGGAAGCTGAAGAAACCAATTTGTAAGTTGTTGCCGCGACTCGGAAGGCAGAAATTGTGAGACCAGGCACGGCCTTTGCAGCTCACTTGCGTGAACTGGTGCCCGGCTTGGGAGGCGCGCCGGGGGAAAAGAGGAGGGAGCCGTTGCTTTTAAAGGAAACCTCCCACACCCAACCGCTATGGCGATTTGCTGACGGATCTTTGGACTTTCACTTTTTGGTTGGAACGAGGTCGGATTTTCCAAATTGGACCCACCACAAGTTGAACTTGTTGCGGGTCAAAAGGCAACCAAGACCTGGAGCGCCCTTTTGCATACTTTGCCAACTGAAAATTGTGAGGTTCTTGTATACCCTGCGGTTACTGCGTGGGTTTGGTGGCGTTTAGGATGGGCACATGGAACATAGGTGTCCTTTTTTTAGGTTAGTTTGACTAAGAATAGATGGGGTTCCACTGGTTTAGGTGGGGTTTCTTCCATTTACCAGGGAAACCCATGTATTTTACCAGAAGGCCACCTATGTGTGGGAACGGGTCTCGAAGAAGTCGTGCCGTTTCTCAAAACACATGGAAGCCACAGCCGCGGCCAACACTGCTTTCAGAGGAGTCTCACTTGGTGGCTCCCAGTCGTCCCCTTAGCTTTTTAGCCTTTTAGTGTTTAGTGGTGGTTTCCATTTAACCCGCTAAAGGTTAGTCACTTTTAGCGGGGGATCAGAACACAGGGGCAGCGCAGCTCATATCAATGTGTGTAAAATCGTTTTGTTCAGTCGGTTATGCGCGATACAGTCCTTTTCAGGGGAGGTGTGGCAGAACGCTGGTTGAAAACTACTTGTTCCTGCGTTCAATTGAGCAATCAAAACCCGGGTAGGTGAAGGTTAGTTAGGGATGGTCCCAACCAGAAATGGGTGCAGCCGCCTTTTTTCATTTTTTACACGGCTCTGGGTAGACCATTTCAAATGCCGGGTTTTGATTATGACTCAGGCGGTCTTTCCTGTCATGGAGCCGCTGTTGCATGTCCAAAGTTTACGTATGATACAGCTACCGCACTTGGCGGCCTCCCTGCTTCCTTGTTTGTCCTGCTCCTTCGCTTCCCGTGCACCGCCGTTATGTTAGCGCAGCATTTTGGACCATTTGGTGGTTTGGATTGGTGGTTTGGGGATTTGGACCCCAGTTGAAACCAAATGGGGAAGGTGGCCCATAAGGTCCAAGCCACCAAACCAAACCAGCAAATAGGGGTAAGGTGATTCGCAAAGTAGTGAATGGAGGCTCACGTCTTGACATGCCGCATGCTATGCCAATTTTCTGCATGGTTTGGCTTTTGCCCGGACTTTTTAACTTACTGAATGCGCTGCGCTGCCTGCCCCTGCGGTTTCGGGGTGCGGCATTCGACCTGACTTTGTCGTCCCTGGAAGTATGTGTTTTTTTTGTTGTTTTTTTGTCAGGGTTTCCTCGAAGCGATTTGAAGCCAACCGCCCTCTGAATTGATCATGCGCTCTGCGATTGACCGGCAGAAGCATGTGCTGTCAGGGCCGTTCTACTGTGCCAAACTCCATCGTCTTAACAGCTGAGGAACGCCCTTCATCAAACGCAAGTGAGTGTCTAGTTGCGTGCATGTGTCGTGCAACGCGCGCCAGGCCAAACATGGCAAAACAACCAAACCACGGAGCTTGCGACTGGCGCAGGGCCGGGTGGATTTCCGGTGTGGCTTTTTAGGATGCCTTTTGAGGACACCAATCCCCTTGCGGTTTGTTCTTGTTGGCTATAGGTTCCCCAGTGCCCTTTCTCACCCCTTTGTTTGTTTGGGAGGGTTCCTCTAAAATAAACTACAGAAACAAGTTGGTACCAACTTATTCTATCCTCTCGACAGCTAGTTGGGGTTGATCCACCGGCTTGGCACTCCGGCCGCGGACCCGCGAGGCGAGTTCTCGGTGCGGGGGTTGGCCATCCAAGAAGCGGCCGGGAGCCTCGGGTGCGGAGAGCTCCCAGCCAGTTTTGGTGTGGAACCTTTGGTTTGATGGGGTGGTGTCCTTCCTGTGCTGAATATTTGCTAGCTTTCAACAAGAATCGATTTCACGGGCTTGCTTCCACTGGAATGAATATATTTGTTAGGTTTCGAAGGACGCCAATTTGACTGGTTGCCTCCCACCGAAATGACTAATTTTGTTTTTTTGTTGCTCTGGTTGGTTTCAAAGGGAATCGATTTCATTGCTGGAGCATATGTTCTATTTGTTCCGGGCTCAAGCAAATGGGAAGTGTCCCATCCGCAAGAAGCAGGGGTTTAATCCCCAAATCACCAATTTGGGGTTGCCTGATTTTTGGTGGGTGGAGGAGGATATAGACTCAGGCACCTAGTGGATCTCCTTCAAACTAACAAGGAAAACACATTTTCCAAGGCGCCCGATTCAGGTTCTATGTTTGTGGGAGGCGCGTTGTACATTGCCAGTACTATACTTGTCACTTGTAGTGTAAGTTGGGCGTCCGCAAATCCAGGCCAAGCTTCCATTTGCTTAAGAAAGAATGTTTTTCCCCTGTTGGTGTTAGAGGAAATATGATCATTGCTGGAAATATTTATTATTTGTGATTAGCCATGCATTTCAGGTGACTACCGGCATGTTGCGATAGCAACTATCCGGTGCCACTTTGGCTCAAGTTTGCGGGTCCGTCGCGCCTCGGATGAGCGTCGCCGGGTCCCCGCGTCGATCACCTTCGTGTCGGTGGAGAAAGAGACATCGGCCCGGGGCAGATTGGTGGGGTCCGCCCGTGCGGTTCATCGTCGATCAAGGTTGCGGGTACTTGTTTACTTGTTTTGGTATTTCCCTTTTGGTTGTTGTTCTCTGGTGTGTGGGAAACCCTGATCTTTGGGACCGGGGATTGGTTTGCTTTTGGGGAACCTTTCTTTTGTGGCTTGTTTACCCCAACTTACCCATTGCCTGGGCACAGGCTCGTGCCCGAATCACAGGTTATCAGCCGTAGGACTTTCCTACGCGCTTGAGACCATCAACTACAAGCTCTATGTCGACCCCACGATCACACAGGAGTGTCGTGGATGAGGAGGCCATCCTAGGGGGCCTCCGCTCAGGTGAGGACCTACCGGACTTCGATTATGAGGATTTCGAAGCAGGTTCGGCAGGTCAGGACCGCAGGGGTGAAGATCCCGGTAGGGACACACCCAGGAGCCGTGGCAGGTACACCGACGATGGAGACGATCGCATTTTCCGTCAGGCCACTGATGATGAGCAGACACGAAGGGTTCGCTCCGATAGGAGCGGCTCTGAATCAGGTCACAGGCGCGGACAGTTTGACTTCATCAGCATGGCGATGAACATGGCCCGCCCTCATTCGGACGACCCGGAGGCCATGCCGATCCGACCCCCGAGATCCCTTGTTCCAGGTGAATCGCAGGTCTCGGATGAGTTTGAGGACAGGCCGCAGGGACCAGGGACTATGGTTTTGGCTCCGGGAGGTATCTCGGGTCGATCTACTGGTTCTCAAAATCCAGGTCAGTTTGATGAGCATGAGGAGAGGAAATTCACAGGCTTCGGATACGATGCTCTGTTGAAATCAACCGCAGGCTGGGGCAGTAGCGCAAAGCAGGAGTCTGATGCCGATAGGCCCAACCCTGTCGCTGCCGAGTTTGAGTTTGATAATGATGAAGATTATGCCGCATTTGCGGATCGTCGTGATGAAGA